AACCGAATATATTTAATCTTCGTTAGGCAATAATATTTCTCAACCATAATTTATTTACGTTGTCTTTTGATTCTTAATTGAAGTTTGGCTAAAGCATTCAGACAGACATTCCATATCCAATAAATCAGCAACTGAATTCAAGTGCTCATCAAGAGATATTCTCAGGCCCAAGCCCCGATGACGACTTCCATCCAAATATTTGCCTTCATATAGCTCTCAATCTTAAACAGTTTTAGTCAGCTTCGAATCACATTTACATATGTAATTACAAAGAGCTATTAATAAGCGTCTTCTGTTTTGGCGGCGTTGGCAAAATGCTGAACTACTCCTACAAATGCAAAGCTGATTATATACTAAGTACGAAATCGGTGTTCAAATCAATGGCTAATAGACGCAAAAGATTACACAATGCCTAGGCCCATAACTCATTAGTGGAACGCCCTAGAGCTCTATTTAGTGGCTGATTGTCTAGACGGCGGACTATCGGGCACTAGTTGTTGTAGTTGTTGTTGTTGAAATGCGGCTGCAAGTGATGATTGGCTTGGACATGCATGATGATTAATGGGCGACTCTGCACAGATTTATGGATGAGTTTCCTCTGTCCCCGACTTGGCCTAGCCCCATCCTCCTGCTGCCCCCTTTATCTCTTTCTCTGCCCATCTGCTTGTAGCTGCAACTAGTTTTTATTATTTTTTATTTTTAATTCTGGGAATGCTAATAGAGCTGCAACTGCTGCTTAACTTGGCCTGAAGCCGGCTTCCCGGAACCCAAAGTAACCATAGAGCTCATACAGTAGTTGTCATTGTCTTAGATGCTCTTATTTTCTCGTTGTTTTTGGTGTCGGTCGCTATTTGCCCAACTGACAGATAAAAGCAGAAACAACAAGCGCATATATGTGACATTCCATTAGCCAGATGACAAATGCAACAATGGGGCAATATTTGCTCTCGTCTGATAAGCTTGGCGTTCTATTATTTCTCATAGTTCTTCATTTTCTTCTCTTGTCTTATTCTTTTTCTTTTTTGTTTGTTGACTTGTAAATAAAGGGGAAATTCTTTGGGTGCGTGTTGCCAAAAAAAAAAAATAATAATAATAATAATAATAAATTATGTATGTACAAAAATTATAGAAATTATAAAAAGGCGGTAATCCAATTAAACGGCTCAAGCCACAGTGAGAGACCGGCTGACCCAATTAGGCGCGCTCCTTACCGATCCTCAGCGACGATTTGAACTTGAAAGCGGCGCCTCTCCATTGTTCTTTGTGGCGAGCCCGTCTCTCTCTCTCTCTCTCTCTATTTTACTCTCTCACTCCCTTCGCCGCTCTCACTCTAATAAAAACGAGTTCTGACTATGCGCAACTCCCTACACAAGAAAAAAAGATCGCATCGCGCTGATCTAACGGCCGCCCAACTCAGTCTCAGATCTCAGTCTATCTCCTTCTCTCTCTCTCCTCTCTCACTGTCTGTTGCTCCTTCACATTGCTCTGCGTTTCAAATTGTAGATCAAAGATCAAGCAAGAAATACTTAAATTGGCATACCACAAACCCACAAAAGCCGCAAGCAAAAAACAAAGCCTGAAGCATAACGAAACATGGTTACCCTATGATTTAACTGTTTTTTCTTTTCTCTGGTTCTTGATCGTTGGATTTGCTGTGAAAATGTTGAGTAGAATAATATTTGATTGTAGGCAGAGCTAAACTTAAAGCTAGCAAGTAAATTCTTTGAATTGAGAGATTATATTTCAATTATAGCTGAATTTGTATATGTTGATTCAAATAGAAACTCAGTTTATATAAATACATAGATAGGTCATTTGGTATGAACTTTACAATTGCTTCAATTTCTACTTGACACAAGACAAAGTCAAAGAAATTTATTCCATATTGCTTATCTGCAGCTAGCGATCAACCAAGTTCTAAATCTTTCATTTCAAGTGATCAAACATTTCGCCCAATCGAACAAAGGCAATAAAAATTTAGCAAATTATATTGAGAATATGCACATAAATCTAAATTGTTATGCCGAGAGCAAATGCAGGGTACAGCCACATATGGTAAATATCATGAAGATCAATGGTCGATCCGTATAGAAGTAACATTATAATTTTAACTTTAATTACTTCCTCAATTGCTGGCGTCTAGGCGAACACAGATAGAGAGATAGAGAATGAGCAGAGATAGAGAGGTAGGACGAGAGAGAGAGAGAGAGCATACTTCTGTCTGTCACTCAAATCAACGGACATCAGTTTGAAAGTTTGCAGCAGCTGCTGCTGTCGCTTGATCGAGCGAAACAAGTGCATTCGAGGCAAGTGATTGAGTTGGTTTTTGGTCAGTGAGTGCGAGCTGGAGTTGGAGTTCGAGTGCGCTTGTTTCATATGCATATGAGTGCTACTTTCTACGCTTGCAGGCGACCCTTTCCCATGCAGCGACACACACGATTAATCACATAATACACACACACACACACTCACACACACACACAGTCGGCAGCCACGATCAGCGATCGTTATCGAGCAGGCATAAAACTGACACAAAGTCAAAGTTAAACAATGCAACTTGCTTGAACTCTAAGACTTTTCGACTCTCTTCGAATCTCGTCTCGCGACTCTCGACTAGACAACGACAACGACAACGATACCGAAGGAAACTCGCAAACAACGAACAACGAACATACACTGCGATCATGCTGTGTGCGATCTTGACAATCAAGATCAATATCATGCCATTACAATATTTGTACAAGACGCTTTGACTCTACTCTCCATCTGCTTGGCATCTAGGCACAGACTGACTTTCCAACATACTACATTTAAAGCCAGACAAGGCCTACGGGCCTTAAGAAAAACATAAAATAACCACAGAAGGCAACGGAAATATATAATTTTTCATGTAACGATATTGCAATGCCCTTTCTTCAAAAGAGAAGTTTAAGAAGTTGTAAGAGTTAGACTCGAATAATATAATTCTCTAAGTTTGCTAGATATTATTTTATTTTAAATCTGTTTATTTTTTAATTTTTATATAGTTCATATTCTTATATCGTATATCTCTGTAATTTAACTTAAATTTTACTCATCTCATCAACGCCTAAACTTCCTAAGCATCTTTGTAAACAATAGTAACCGAATTCGAATAAATTTATTAAATATTCTTTAGATTGATCTATTGATCGGTGATTCACTTTACTTAGATCTCGTATAAAATTATTCCAAACTCGATCATCTCTTTAACAACTAGACTTCTTAAATATCTCTAAAAACAATTGTTACCAAATTAAAGAAAATTGTTTAATAATTCTGTAGAAAGATCTTTCGATTGGCAGCTAAATTTGTTTAGATTTTATGTCAGATTCTATGCAAATCAATTGAAAAGTTTCTCAGCTCTTTAACAACTTGACTTCTCAAATAACTGCTGCTAGTTAGGCGACAACACTGATGGCAGTGCTATAGTATCCACAGCCTCTCATATTACCTAGATTATATGGACAAACACAAACGTCTGGGGGTTTGGTATACAAATTAGCCTGAACCTGGGCCAAGCGCCTTTGCATGCCCGCTGCTGTTGTCTGCTGGGCTCGCTTGTCCCGGAAAATGCTATAATTATGCAATTCCTCAAAGGCGCTGACGGTGGTCGCTGCCTCGACCCCTCCACTCCGCGCCGCCCAATGCCCAGCCCCACTCAACATGAGACAGCCAGCCCCCGTCGCACATAGCCTATAATCTGGCAAGGGTGCGGAGGAGGACAATGAAAATTATTGACTGGCTGTCCAAAGAGTTAAGGCCTTCAAGTAAATTGCTGTAAATCTTTATTTGTGCAGCTACTTAAAGAGCCCCGGCAACAAACTATTCAAGCTGAGGTTAACAAGCCGCCAGCGATTAAGTCATTTCTTATGTGGGCTCATTATTTTGTTCCCCCCATGTTGTTGTTGTTGTTGTTGTTGTTGCAATGCGTAGCTGTTGCTACTGGGCTTGCAGCCCTCGACCGCCCCTCGCCATCTGCCATCCATCCTGTTGCATTGCAATTTTTTACAGTCTAAGCCCAAAATTTAAAAGTCTGGCAAACTCGTTTGCTGCGCCTCAAGCGGAGCCAAGCAACAGTCGCTGCTTAGATCTGTAAATTGCCCGCAACTTTGTTAGTTAAAAATATTTTTTATTTTATCTTGACAATGCGTTGTCACTTGCTTTAGTCTGGGTGTGTGTGTGTATGTGTGTGTGTGTGTTGACTGTGTGACTATCGGGTATTTTACGTATTTGTTCTAATTAAAAGTGACAATTCTACGTAATTAGCTGGCGGCTATTTTTAACACTTCACTGACTTGGCAGCTAAAAAGGATATATTTTTATTTTCTTCTTCTTTTTTTTAAGCGATATCAAATTTCCACCAATAATTGATTTAGCTCATTTGCTTAATTAGTGCTGACAGCTGCGGCTTCTGTTTGAAACGTTTGCTTAATGAGCAAAGGAAGATCTTGCAGGAAATTCTTTCGTAATTTCAACTGCATTAAAATGTGGATTTTAGGGAACAAAGCAACGAGAGAATATTCAAAATAATCCAAAGCATTCTTTTTCCATTACATTTTTTGACAAGCTATTACTATTATATTATTATCTCTAATTGTATACTTAGAGAAATTATTTTTCATATATTTATTCTAATTTATTTTTGTTTTTAAGCAAATTTCTTGAGTCTAAAAAGTTTTGAGAATTTTAAAACAAGGAAAAATAAATTAATAAATTAAATTCCAGCCTGATCATCATATTTCTCTTTGAGAATCTCGGCCATCATATAATTACTCCCAAACAAATTCAATCAAACAAAATATGTTTCCAACAAATTCCATCAATCTATAATTCTGTCATTAAATCTAGGCTTTCACTTGATTTCATTGATCATTTTTAATCACAAAAACCACTGATCAAATCAAATGGGACTCATAAAGCAACAACAACCAATTACATAAACTCCATTTCCATGACCCAGTTCCCTTGTTCTTAGCCCAAATGCAGCCTTTCACTGAGCACCCGCTGCGCCAAGCCATATATATGCCCCACTTTATGGGGCTCACTAGGAAATTGTTCAATTCAAATGGGGCTCATCGCCACACACACACACACACACACACTTGAATTGCAAAAAAAATAATAAATAAAAGGCAATAAAAAAAATGTCTTCATTAATAAAATTTATGGTTGTACATGACGCTGATGTGTTCGAAATGGTAGCCAATGAGGCACTAAATCAAATCATTAACATATAGTTGCCCCTGCCTCTCTGTCCCTCCGTTTGTAGAGTGTGCAATTAAACGAAATCGAAACGTGCCAAACAATTCAATTGCAATTATGCAATAGAAAAAAAATAAACAAAATACAAAGAGATTGAAAAATCGACAGAAAAAAAAACATTTAGACATATTGAACTCGAGTTAGCCCACTGCCTAATACTCGTTCAGATCAGATCGATTAGATTAACGATAAAAATGCTGATATTTGTGGGCTTGAGAAGTAGATCTTATAACATTTATATATCTAGCTGTTGAGGAGGGATCTAGCTCTGTGGAATATATAGATTTCTTATATGTAAAAAAGGTATATACATATATATTTATATACATAATTCTTATAAGTGATTAACATCTTAAAGTTCTTGCTCCGGAAAGCTTAAGATGGAGTAATAAAATTATAAAATTTTATATCTGATAATAGACTGCTTAAATATAAATATAATTAAAATTTTAAGTCTCTAGTTTCGGTACATTTACTAAGTGTTTAGTGTTAAGTTAAAGAAAGATCACAAATAATAAATAAATAATAAAAACAAATCGAATATCTAGCTTTGATAAACAGACTGACATCAATACACATGCATTTCACAAAGCCAATATACTCTCTTTTTATTTTGTTGGCAAGCATAAAAATGATTCCTATAGCGCTCAACATGTGGCCATGTCCAGTCGAGACTGATCAAACGGATCAGCGGGTGGCTGCCCCAATTGGCGCTGCGCTGCTCTGCTCGCTGCACTGCTGCACTGCCAGATATTTAAAATAGTTTACGACCGGCACTTTGCACAATTCTCAACGTTTGCTACTTATTTGGTTTTATTTTGTAAGGCGTTAATAGATTAGTTTGCCAGCCAGCCCGTATATAGAGAGTGAATGGTGCGAACTGTGCGAAATGCTCAACAGTTTTGTAATTGGGTTAGCCAACAAAACAAATGAAGATGTATGAGATGACGAGTGCTGCGAGTGGTGGCTGGCAGGTGGCAAATGTCAGAGGCTTGCCATAAAGCTCTAGAATTTTATATAGCGTAGAGCTGAGTGAATGGACTAAAACAAAACTGGTACTAATAAAGTTAGCATTAAGATTCGTAAATGGAGGAGACTTAAGCGAATTAACAGCTTTCTTAGATTATAATACAAAGAAGACCTTTGATCATGAGTCAGTGATATATTATTAAGTATTAACATATAAATAAAATCTTAAAAGTAGTACTTGATATATCGGAAGACCTGTTCTTTTATTTTTTAGATTCTGTAAAGTTATTTTGTTTTTGTTGTACTTTTAAATTATTTTTCCAATATTTTTTATTTATTTATTTTTTATTTTTTTTTTTTTGCCCTGTAGTTTTCTCTGAAAAATTTTTAAAGTTTTTAAAATTAATATATATGTATACCCTTTTTTTGTCAAACAGGTTTTTATTATATTTTTTATACATTTTTTTTTAATTCTTATTTATTATTATTAATATTATTTTTTTTTTTTAATTTTAATATTATATATCATTATATTTTATTTATTATTATTAATATTTTATTTTAGTTTTTAACATAAATATTTTTTTTTTAATTAAAGTTAAAAACGAAAGATCAGAACTTTTAAAGTTTCGCTTAGAGAAAACTACTAATTAAAATTAGCCAACTTTAATCTTTTGCACAAATAAAAAAAATTCTACAGAACAGAATTTGTTATACCAGCGCATAAAAAAGAAGAGCAAACAAACACAATTCTTGTCACTTAAAGTAAAAAAAAAAAAAAAAAATGAAAATAAAATAAACGGGCTGTGCCACATTCAATTAGGCCGCAATTTCACAATTAATTAAAAACGGGCACAGCCCAGACATATTTGAGATTTTACAATAATTTGGCAGGGCCAGATCAAAGCAAGCAAGAGAGAGAGAGCAATAGAGAGGAAGAGAAAGAGAGAGAGCACAAAATAGCCAGGCATATTTCAGGCACTTGGCACTACGAGCCGCTTACAAAAATGTTAAGTGAGCCAGGTAAAAATGATATAAAAGCACCGTCCAAAGTTGAGCAACGGGCAAATGTCCAATTTAATTGTAATGTGAGAAATTTAAATAAGGTAGCCGCAAAATGCGGCTCAGATGCTCAACAATGACTAAGCCAGCCTTAAGAATACAGAAACAAAAAATTATGAAAAAAAAAAAAAAAAAATACAAATAAAAAATGTTTTAAAATGTTTCATGTATTGTTGTTGCTGTTGTGGTGTTTGTTGTTAGCTTTGTTAAAAAAAGATCAAATAACAAAAAGCCGCCAAATTTCAATGGAAAACAAAAGCTCACTTATTTCAAATTTGTTGTATATTGTTGTTGCTGTTGCCGTTGTTGTTGTTGCTGTTGTCGCTGATGTTTGTTGTTGCTGCTGTTGCTCCTCTCTAACTAATTTTCCACTTGTGTGCAAAGGGAAACCTAAATCCATTGACCCTGGCAACAACTAGACCCAACTTATGCCCAGCGCCTTTTCTCTGTGTCTCGGATTCACCTTTTGCTGATTTGTCAGTTCATTTTTGATTATTTACGATCGTTTGTTCGGGCTGGCTCTCTTCGATTGCTGAAATAATGCCTATTTGTTCGGCTCGAGATTATTTACATTTATCCATGTGTATCTATGTATAGCTCATCTAGTTTCGAAAGCCGTTTTCAAAGATTTTTATTGTAGTTTCGCTTACGGTTCGCAGTTGTGTTCCATTTGAAATTTATTACATCACGATCTCTATTAAAAATGCTTCTTTCAGCTGTTGTTTGCTTTCTGGATGCTTCAGATCTACTTTGTAGTTTATGATTTGATTTTGTTTCCCTTTGCTGTGCTCTGGCTTTGGCTATGGCTTTGTGTTCTATGCGAATTTCGTTTGCAGCTGCGTTTCCTGGAAAATATCAGCAGATGACGCTAGAATCTTAACTGGGGCCATAGATATATACATATGTATATGTATCTATATATATATATATGTATCTAAAACATTTCATAATAAACTTTTCGACATAAGTTTATGAGTTTTGCGCCACAAATTTATGCCTTTCGTATAGCTTTCAATTTGTTTAGCTGAAGGGTTCTTTGGTTTGCAGATATATCTATTTTGTGGTTTCCTTTGCTATATTCTACTTATCTTCTTTATTATTTTTCTTTTTGTATATCTTTTTAACTGTGCCGCTGTCTATAATAGTTTATTTTCGTCATACAATTTTTTGTACGTTTCAGTCAAAACAAATATACAAATTGTAACAATTGTTGAAAGTATTTGCCATTATTGTTTTTCCCTTGTAGAGCTTTACTAATTAGTTTGCTAGGCAAACACATAAACGCACACACACACACACATACATCTATATCTGTCTGCCTGTTTGTCTATGCTCCAAATTCGATTTTAGTAAAAATTTCATTTGTTTATTTACAAATTGTCAAAAGTTTTGTTGAAACATTTATGGCCGACTTGTTGCTCTTGGCTAAAAACCAATGAACCAACAGAATTTACTGCAATTTTATTTGCATTGGTTGTGCTAAATGAGTAAACAAAAATGCTGGAAAAGTTTGTGAAAATGTAATAAAAAGAATATATAATTTTTTTTTTTTTAATTATACAGAAATTTAACCGAAAATTTCTTATTTTTATCTAACTTTGATGTAACTCGCCCGCAACTATGAATTGTTATAAAAAAAAGGGGGAGAAAAACTTCTCCAACTCAACAAAAAGTAATTAAAATTTTGTGCCCAACTGAACTTACAGAAAGAATAAAAAATGTTCTCTCATTCAATGCAAACACCAAGCACAAAGAAAACGCACCGCAAAATGTGTGAAAACTCATTGAAAGGCAACAAATACTAATTGAAAAGCACAGCAAGAGTGAGTGAGTGAGTGAGTGAGTGAGAGAGAGAGGGAGGAGTGAAACAGATTAGAGAAATATGTCAGCGTCTGACAAACGAACTGTCAAAATGCCAGACGCGTCAATAAGTCAGCGCATCAATGAACGGCGAAATGTTGCTGCGGTCGCAACGAAATTGCTGCATTTATGCATCTATCTAGTCTGCATAACACACACGCTGCAACATGCGATGCCTGCGGGCAACATGTTGCAACAACAGCAAGAGCAGCAGCGACAACAACAACAACAACAAATAACTAGTGTAAATAGCAGTGTAAATATCAATATAAGCAGCAATTTCAATGAAATTGTCACGGCCACGGCGACAGCAACAGCTGCTGCTGCGACTGCAACAACTACGGCAACAGCAACACCAGTGCGTCGCAACAAATGGCGTCGCAAATTTGTGAGCAACAGTAACAGCAGCAGCAACAGGCGACGCAAACTATTGCGGCCGCATCACTATCAGCGCAATGTGACGCATGCAACACGCACCACAACTGCAACAGCAACAATTGCTACCAGTGCAACAGCAACAACACTAATACCAAAGATACAACAACAGCAGCAGCAGCAGCAGCAGCAGCAGCAACACTTCAGTTATCACACGCGCCTGCACAGCAGCTATCAGCAACAGCAACAACATGTTGCTGGCGTGCAGCAGCAGCAGCAACAGCAACAGCATGTTGTTGCCATAACCCCGCGACCGCTTAAGCAACAGCAACATGCTTTTGCGCTGCCGGCTGCCACTTACTATCAGCAACAGCAGCAGCAGCAACAGCAGCAGCAACTCTTTGGCAATCTGAGCCGGCAGCAACAGCAACAGCAGCAGCAGCAACACTTTCTCATACACCCCAGCAGCAACAATATTGTGCTGTACAACAATCTGGACAGTCTGCCGCCCTGTCCGCCGGGCATGCGTCTGGTGCCACAGCACTTCATACCCCTCCGCCCAACAGCGACGCCAGCAACACAACGCTCGAGGCAACGTGGTAAGCAAATTGACGCACTCACGATTAAATTCATTTGGCGCTGCATAAAAGTTTAGAAATTAAAGAAGCAGAAAGAAGAAGAAGAAGAAGATGAGGCAAAAGTAGAAATAGAAGTTGTCGTAGTTGTTGCTGTACTGGCAGCAAAAAGGTGTTAATTACGCTAATAAAAATTGCATTCGCCACGTTTATGGCAGCTAATGTGTTTGCCCACTTAAATGGCAAACGGGCGAGCAGGCTCGTCACCTCGTCATGCTATCGCGGAGCACCTCAATTGACTATCTGGCCAACATAATTACCCTCTCGCGGCATCTGAAGCCGAGCCGTGCCGAACCGAACTGACTTAGAAAGCCTGCCTAATTGGCCAAAAGCAATTGGCATTTTTGACTGCCAGCGGCTTGAATGGCCTCAGCACAGGCGCCAAAATGTCCCAGACGCGAAAAGCACCTCTGCTCTAGTAGGTGCACATGCAAAAAATAAATACAAAACGGAAAGTTGAAGTTTTTAAGAGTTTTAAAAGAGACGGCATCGATTTTAATAGAGTCATATATTCAAGTCAAATCGCCTTAGATAAAAGATATAGACGCATATTCGCGTCCAATCGAGAGTGAGATAAAAGATATTTTTTCGTCTGCACATAAAATGTTGGCGAGCTTAATGGAATTCATGGAGCAGCGAACTGATTTAGTAGGAGATTTTTATTTTGAAATAAACTGTCTATGAAAGGTGTTATATGTAGTATAAATATTGCATAAAAGTATATTTATATATATAGTATATATATTTATATTAGTCAGACTAGGGCTTGAAGATGTATATATATACTTTCGATATGCAATATAATATTAATATCGAATAATTTTTTGTTTTTAATTTTTGTGTAAAATTATTTTCTGAATTTTAGTCATTCAAAAGAAGTAAATTAAAATGAAATAATATTAGAAGAAATAAATAAAAATTTTGGTTATTAGAATTATGCAAATTAGAGATCAATTTATGGTTCTAAACAATAAATCATATGATAAACAGTCACAAAAAATGTAGATATATATACACTTTTTTCTTCTTTTACCAGCCTTACCTTTTCAATTAAAACCACCTTCAAAAACGTCCAAATATTTATTTAAAACTCTAATCATTAATTTCGGCTACATTTGCAAATTAATAAATTTGATTAATAATCCAATATAATTATGGCTAGAGCAATATTTATTGATACTTCATTAATAATCGTTTGATTGCCCTCGCGCGTTTTCCTATTTCTTATGTAATCAAATCACTCAGCAAATTTGCCAGCAAATCAAATTACATTGAAATGCACAAGGAAAATCGGAAAATAAAATTGTTTTTGCCAATTTGATTGGGTTGCTGTGGGGGTCTATTGATAGATTGTCTCGGCATTTTGGACGTTTGGCGCCTTGTGGAGTGTTCGCTCAATTAGCATTTTGTTGGAGAGACAGCCGGACAGCCAGACAGACGGCAATCTACGAACATGGTTGCAAACGAGCATGATGCTGACAGAAGACAGAGGGAGAGAGAGAGAGAGAGAGAGAGAGAGAGAGAGGGAGAAGGAGAGGGAGAGATCTAGTTGAGCTTATAGTTTAGATCAGTCTAGTGCTGTGGGCGCATTTCAAATCTGTTTTTGGACTTAGCGCCCAAAATGACAGAGAGATGTATGCAAGAGGAGTACAGTTAGCTGACATGGAATACATATGTATATATATATTGTATTAAGTGCAATTGTGGGTGTCAAGCTTCTTAAAGTGTGCAGGCACATCGTATAAAGTCGACTAGAGGCTGCCACAAATCCCAGTTACTTGCCACAAGTATTGACAGTTGCTGCATCTGAGCTCTTTCGAAAGGCTGCAGAGCTGCAGAGCTACACCTACATATGTATGTACATGCTGCACTAATCTAGCGGTTCGTGGACAACATGTTTCTAGTCCGTTTTTGTTTTAATTACAATAAAACGTGCCACAAAAACAAACAATGTGCGCGCTAATTGCGCATAAAGCTTCACCCCAAAGACAACAGCAAAAAAACAAATCTCAACAGAAATAAACAGGAAAACAAACAAGACAAGATGAGAGGCGTGCGGGGCAGCGATTCTGTAACAGTTACAAACTTGAAAACGTAAGCGTAGCAAATGGACAGGCAAACAAAATAAAACAAAAGCGAGAAACAAAACAACAAAAACCAAAGCAAACAAATGAGCCAAATGACAAATGCAAGTGTCAAACTTGTAGACACGACTCTTGTTGAGTTGACATTAAGCTCCACTAGCTCGAAAACTCTGAGACATAAGAGCTAAACACATTATGGATTAAAAGAAAAAAAAAAAAAAACGCAATTTTTGGAAACTTGAAACAGAAGACTAGTCGAAATATCATGTCAATTGGGCAAGGGGTCAGCTCGAAATTGACAACTGAAAGAGCTGGAAATGAGCGGAAAATGGTTGAGCGTATGACATAGATATTTGTTAAAAAAAAAATAATAATAATAAAATAAATAAATACAATAATTTTGTTTAAAAATTAAAGTTAAAAAAATATATATTTGCTAAAAATAGCACATTTTTTAATTTTTAAAAATATATAAATTTAAATATAAATATAAATATAAATATAAATATAAATATAAATATAAA